GACTTCAGCTGGTGAATCACCCATCACGATTCCGGAAGCCTGACTGCTATGTGGCGGCTCGACACCGGAAGAGGTCAAGTGCGACGGCGTCGTCGGTGGACCCGACTGTGTCTCGTATTTCATCTCACTTGTAGTGTCTGATGTTGGCAAAAGGTTTGTCTGTGAATAAGTTAGTGATGCCTCGTGGACTTTAATCTTTTCTATAATATAAGGAGGTGGAGGTTTTAAAATAAGGCCAGGCCGTGGTTTTAAAATGAGACCATGTTGAAAAGAATGATTTGTTTCCATACCTGTCACAAATTCTCTTGATCTCTTTCGGGACACAGGAACATTCGGGTGGTGCCGAGAGTAGTGAGGCTTTCCTGTCACGAACGATCCTTGCTGTTGTTGTCCTTGTTGAACCTCCGCACCTGTCACAAATTCTCTTGATCTCCCTCCGGTATGAGACACAGGAACATACGGGTGGTGCCGAGAGTAGTGAGGCTTTCCTGTCACGAACGATCCTTGCTGTTGTTGCCCTTGTTGAACCTCCGCACCTGTCACAAATTCTCTTGATCTCCCTCCGGTATGAGACACAGGAACATTTGGGTGGTGCTGAGAGTAGTGAGGCTTTCCTGTCACGAACGATCCTTGCTGTTGTTGCCCTTGTTGAACCTCCGCACCTGTCACAAATTCTCTTGATCTCCCTCCGGTATGAGACACAGGAACATTCGGGTGGTGCTGAGAGTAGTGAGGCTTTCCTGTCACGAACGATTCTTGCTGTTGTTGCCCTTGTTGAACCACCGTACCTGTCACGACTTCTCTTGATCTCCTTTCAGTATGAGACACAGGAACATTCGGGTAGTGCTGGGAGTAGTGAGGCTTTCCTGTCACGAACGATTCTTGCTGTTGTTGCCCTTGTTGAACCTCTTGTTCTTTGTTCCCCAGTATTATATCCAGGTTTTCGTAATCGAACTCTTTTATGATATTGTTTTTTTCCAAGATATCAGACGGCGCTAATGAATTCAACAAATCTTCAAACTCTTGGTATAATGGGGTACCCACTACGACTTCAGGGATAGTGGACAGTTTCTCTGGCTGCGAACTGTTAGATATAAAGTCCTCTTGCAAGTTCGCTTGGTGTGATATATTATTGTGATTTTTAGAGACGATTCCTTCATTTAGTGTTGGATTTTCTACATCAGCTGCGATATTTATCTGATATTCGTTCGGCAGTATTATATTTGCTGCATCGTTTTTCCCTGATGGTGTCGTAAGTGTGGTGAGTAGTTGAAGAGAGCTAAGAGTTTCGGTCTGTCCGCATGAGGATGTGTATAAATGAGATCCGTCGGATATTGGTGTGCGAGGCTGTACGTTATCTTTCTTTTTGACGGTCTGTGGCTTGTATTTCTTTGTCTCTTTCGATGATGACACAATCTGATTGTTGTTGGGCGATGTCGTCGGTATAGAATTTACGAGGTTGGTGAGACGCTCGCACGCTGATGGTTCAAAGCGCTGAGTATTAGCTTGAGGAGTGACATTTACCGGGACATTTGGTGAGACTTGAGCAGAATTGTTCTTCACTTGAACCTGATAGTTGTGGCCTACTTTATTAGTTGGAGAAAAGTTCTGTGTTGAATATTGACACGAAGACTCGAGACTACTATCCGGAAGATAAAGGTTTCTTGTTGAAGGTCGAGACAAAAGTGCGTGTTCACTAATTGGAGAGTTAAAGTTCCGTGTTTGAGATGGAAACGCAAATTGGTGGTTACTGATAGGAAATACGTTTTGCGTTGAAGACGTAACTGTGTAGCTACTATTTGGAGAGTAAAGGTGTTGAATTGAAGATTGAGACGTAGAACCACTATTCGGATGATAACAGATTTGTGTTGGAGATTGAAAGGTAGATCCACTATTTAGAGTGTAGCCACTATTTGCAGGACAAAATGAATTCGGAGAATGTAAGTTTTGCGTTGAAGGTTGATGCAAATACTGATGCTGTATTGAAGATCGAGGCGAAATATCGTAGCCACTATCTGGAGAAGACTTCGGGATATTCGGATTGTTGCGATTCCAATAGTTACCGTAGAGGATCTCTGGAACACGAAAATATATCGACATTAGCCAGATTTGTAAATGCAAATCAAACAAGAGCAAATATTGTTGCATGCTGAAAAATCGTATCCGCCGAAAACCAACATCAACGTTATATTTTATTTTATTTTGATACGTAGATATCAGATAACCACAAAATTAATACTAGACTTCTAATATAAAAAAAAAAATTGAATTAGAAAATAACTAACGTTAAAAACCTCCTAACATTTTATGCAAATATTCTATAAATATTCTACTTTACTATGAATTCGATACTAGTCTTTACTTAATTCGTTTATTAATGATAGTAGCAACAAAACGTATGAACTTTCTCAATTAGTCGTGATAAATTATACGATTTAATGATAATAAATATATTTGATTATATGCACTTTTACGATATATATATTCGTATATTTTACAAATTATATAAAGATATGACTTTATTATAATAAGAAAAAAAATGATCGTATCTCTTTGAGATTTATCTTAAAACAAATCTTAATATTATACTTGAAGAAAAGACAGGAAGAAAAAATATAAACAAGAGCAAATCCGTAAAGTAAGCGAGGCATGTCGTACAGCTTCGTGGCACGTTTGTGGTCGATGTTGGTACGGTAGATAGATAGGTAGGTTACATTCAAGTTGGAACGATTCAACGATCATATATATCATCGCATTCGCTTACATGCACACAAATATACATTATATATACGTTCTTCTATATCATTATATATTATACATATATAATATCTATGTATTTTGTATGGAATAAATATCGATGCGTACACACATACATATATACGAGTATGTATATGTGTACAAGCGCTGGGTAGACGCATCTTACTCTTCTCTCGAGAAGAAAGACTTACTCTAGATAAGTATGTTAGTAGCACATTGGCCAGCTACGAGCACACTCGGCAATCAAATTGTCGCATTTAAATGTATATATGTACATATATATCTGTATATGTGTATATGTATGTATACGTATAATGCTTATAAATAAAAGTAATATTAATATTAAGCTAATGTTACATGTTATAATATTTTTGTTGAATAGAAATAATAAAAAACTTATACAGAAAATCACAAAAAGAACATAACAACATAAAAATATAAACGGAAGACATCGATTACTAATGTTTTCTTTCTTAAGTCTATATTTTTGTTATAGTAATTTATAATTAATTTATTACTCAAACTATTTATTTATAAAATAAATTCTAGATATATCAGTATAAAATAATAAGAGACTTATATGTATGTATGTATAAATTGAAAAGAGTAAAAAGAAGTAAATAGTACAATATTAAAAACTCTAAACACTGTAATAATAGTTTTATGAAAGTAAAAATAAGAGTAAACATAAATATTGTAAATGCACATTGCACGATATCTAATTGAAATAAGAAACAATATAGAAAGAAGCAACTTATTACTAATTTGACAAATAAGAAAGAAAGATTAGATATCGTAAGAAATAAATTAAAATATCTAATTACAGTAAAATACAGTATAACATAAATAGTCTGGAATTTAGTAGTGTGACGATAGGACAATAAGAACTTTGAGTTACATTGACAACTAGAATGAAAAATTTAGAGTTAAAATAAAAACGATAACTTAGTGAAGATGAAAGATGTAAACTAAAACATTTATTAAATAATAGAAAATACTTATTTGTTACCTATGTATTTATTTGTTTTACTTTGTTTTTTAACATTCGTATGATTAATGTATAATTTTAATATTTTGTATATATATATATATATATATATATATATATATATATATATGAATAAAAATTTGCAAAAGATTTAATCTTAAAATCAAACAAGACAAAATGAAATGGATAAATTTACTTATTTAGTAGATTCTCATATATTTTATAGTTATTTCTTTATTTTTTAAATATCTGTATTATTAATTATATTACTATATATGTTTTTTTATTTATGATTTATATATGAATATTTTGAATTATGAGTTATAAATTTGCAAAAGGTTAAATCTTAGAAGCTATAAGCAAGATAGAACGAAATGGACATATACAAAAAACAAATACACATATATATACATAGAAGATAATATAGAACAAAACAAACATATACACATACATAGAATGTACATATACATAGCATACACGTAACATATGAGATATATATTATTTTGTTGTTTATATTTTATTTTAATATTTTATAAATTTTTCGAGCGAATTTTGGTTACAGTGGCTTTTTATTATCTCTTTAAAAAAGTTAACATATTTTTTAATATTTTGCAAATTATACTCTAGAAGAATTAATAAATTCTGGAATTTTTGTGGAAAATGAGATTATCATATGAACAAAATTAAAAAGTTGAATTTTTCTCTAACAAGAGAATATGACGTTTATACATATATATGTATATTGTCCCAATAAACTATAAACAATAAACGCTCGAAAAAAGGTTAACTACTTATTTTACTTATATTATTGCTATTATTATACGTATATATAATAATTTTATTTATTTTGGATGTAATACAATTTATGTATATGTTATATTACATCTATAAATAAAATTATTGTACTGTAAGCTTATCTGTATACTTAAAGTTACAATTATGTTTTAATCTAAACAAGTAATTATTATATTTTGAAATAAATGATAAAATATCTTATCTTGAAATATTAATTATTTGATTCTATTCTAATATTCTTGATTATATTTTAATTAGAATCTGATTTTAATCAGAATATCCACGAAAACGTTTCTATTTATGGAACACAATCGTGCTAACATAGGACATTTCCTTTGAAATAGAGTAAAAATGTAAAACATTTTTTTTCAATAACTGATAATTGCTTATAAAGATTAAATTTAATTATTAGCATATAAATTATAAGTATATATAAAATATATAAATTTAATACGGTTTGTGTGTGTGGGTGCGTTCTCCATATTATTCTGCCTAATAAAATTGTAATTATTGTGTTGGTCCATATTTCGTCCTTTAGCTTCAATCTGTAAAATAATATTAACAATATTTTAATATAAATATATTTCAATTATAAAAGTTAATATATTTTAATAGTTATATATACATATATACAATATTATTATTGTTTATATTATTACCATAAAAGCGGTAAAAAAAAATAGAGGAATATATATACATATATGTACATGTAGAATAAATATAGAATTAGAAAAACCACCTATATATATTCTATGCAAAAGTTAAGGAAATATTGCAGAGAAATTTATTTGTATTATTGTAAGATAGTAATATTGCGCAATTTTGCAACAATTTTATTTACTCGAGTAAATAGATTGTTTTGCTATGAAAACAAGAGAGAGCGAGAGAAATCCAGATATATTTATTAAATTTTCTTTTTTATAATAATATATTGTGAGTTATCATACCAAAGAATCATTTTCTTGCTGAAAATATGTCGAAATAAATTAATTTTTAATATGCTATTCGCCTTCTATATAGTATAATTAAAATATGTCGAAAATTCTGTGACTTTGATTTGTGTAAATTATAGAAAATAATTATAAAATCTTGATCTCAATTATGTATCTTAACTATTATAAAGTTATTTGTATCTTTATTTAAAGCTTTTGTAATGATATTAAAAAAAAACTTTATTATATTTATTAATTTGTGTATATATATATAATCATTGATGCAAATAATGACAAAAAATTAATTTATTTCAATAATTAACAACTCGCAACAAAAAAATTTATATGATTATTAATACATATAATAAAAGTTTATTTTTTGTTTTTCACATAAATGCAACATCATTAATTATAAAGGTAAAACATGAAATTTGTTATACATGTATGCACACACACATATACATACACATTCATAGTATATATACACACATCCATATACACACATTCATATACTTTTAAGCTCTATATATTACACATATATATGCATATGTATAATATTATATTTACTTTTTAATGTTTTTGATAATGCTTTAATAATATATTCATAATGTTCATATCTAGGAAAATAATATAGTAATTTAAAAGAATATACAATTAATTTTCCAGATGCACATGGATAAACTTATACAAAAATAAGATTGTTATCAATGAATATATTACATTATCTGTAATAAATTTAGCAAATATTTTAGTAAGAGTGAAAAACACTTTACAAAATATTTCGTATTTTATATATATTATATATATTATAAATATATATATATATATATATTTATGAAAATAAATTATATAAATAATTATAACTTTTGGTGATTAATTTTTTATCTATTAGGAAAAAGATGAAATAATAAAAACTTTATGATTTTATTTAAAAAGAAAATGAAATTACATTTTTTGGTGCATTATTACGCCTAAAATAACTGAAATGTGAAGATAAATGTAAATAAGCTTATAGAGTGATTCACAAAATTGATCAAATATTTTATACATTTTAAAAACTCAGAAATGTATGTTTTTTAAATGTATATATTATATATTCTTTTATAATAATATATAACTCTCTATAACTATCTTTTTTTATAAGTTTATTCTCTCAAACATCTCATTCTTTCTAGTTATATTAAAGCTTTTTTTCTAAAACATTTAATCAATTTTGTGAATTATTAAAATAGTTAGTGCAATTAATAGCTAATAAAATAAACATTAGAATCATTAATATATTACAATATTAATTGCTAATAATTTGTTCAATATTGCAAACAGAAGATTGATAAAGATTATTGGTGCACAGATTAGTAAGAAGGTAAGCGTATATGTACATAAGTGCTATTACTGAGTGTTCTGATAACAATATTTCTTTACAGTAGTATTACTAACGTTAAATTAGTGCTATAATCATGTGTACATTAGTATTTATGCATAAGCTTTTTTGTAAATGTTTCAATTCATTATTAGCAGTAGCTAATTAATACAATACTCACCTGTATCAAATTATATTCATTGATTTTTTTTCAGTGCTGTATTAATTTTTTTTACTTACGCATTATTACATTACTTCATGTCACGTTCATATTATTTAAATTATGAATACTTTCTAGGCAACGTACACTGTGTAACATAGTATACGACCCAGTACTTTCTAACTACGACACAAGTCGACACTGTAACATAGTGTATGACTATGTTCCGTTGTTATAGAGCACAATATTAAGAGCACTTTTTTCATTAAAGTCATTATTTCTTATTGCAGTTAAATTGAATTATAATATCATAAATAAGAAATGTAAATTAAATTTTTTTTCTGCAAAATATGTCAAAATAAATTAGTTTTATCACATTTGATGACATAAATTTATACACATTTTTCAATATTTACATTTTTCAATATTTTGCATTAGTAAAAGCAATTTAATCTGCATGTGTCATTCTTAATGAAAATAAATCTTAATTAAACCCCTCCCCCCTCCTACAGAATTTATATTTATTTATCAATTTACGAATCAAAAGAAAGTTTTTGATATATTTTATCAATATAAAACGAATTTATTTATTTTCATATTTTTTACGTAAAAAAAATTTATACAATTTTTTATTTTAATATAACTGCAATGAAAAGCCAGGAACTTTAACATATAAATGTAATTATAAACCATTGAAATTTTACTACATGAAATAAAACTTTTTATATAAAAAACGAATAAATTTTACATTAATCATAAGCTTTATATTACTCTCGATCTATTTGTTAATAAATTACGAAAATATTATATCTCTTTCGATATAACATCAAGAACAAACAGATTTAGAGTAATATTATGAACTTTAGTTCATAAAATTTATTCGTAAATATTTTTTATATGAAATCTTATTCCTGGATGTATATATAGCAAAATAGCATTCAGCGTCAGTCGTTTTTAATAAGAGTAAACTTTAATCGATGACAAGATCTCGGACAGTCAAATTAATTTGATAAAAATGAAATAAATATGAGAGTCTCTTTCTCCCCCGACGCGCAACATTTTATATGTATATTGATAAATAAGAAAATAAAACAAAAATACAATATTAATATAAAATAAAATAACAGAAATTACATGAAAATAAAAAGCAATAAAATATGCAAGAAAAAAACGATAAATCAGAAAATAACAGATATTAAATAACAAGTTCGTTATATAAAATTTACGAAAAAAAAATCGTACGTATATATTTTATACGAAGGATGACAAAAAGCGGAGGTTTCAATACGAAGAGAAAAAGATATATAAGTAAATTTTGGTTCTCTTCCGGATTTACAGCTGTTGCTGCATGACAATCGAAAAATTGTCATATCCATCTGCCGGACTGCGACTACCCACAAGAGGATATTTATTCATTCGTAAGCGCTTTCCTTTGCACGAGAGGTATAGAAATGAAACGACGATGATGATGATGATGCTGATGATGATAGGTGCTTGCGGGAGCGACAGATACTATACACGACCAGGTTGATACGCAACGTTTCTCATGACGTGCTCGCGTAACCACGCGGATATGTCAATCGGAACAGAAGGAAGAAAGGACATCGAGTCTAAGCACAGCAGGATGCGCTAAAAGCTTAAACTCGGTATCCTTCCCTCTTCCTGTTCCGAGTGACATATCCGCGTGGCTGCGCGAGCACGTCATGAGAAACATGCATATCAGGCCGTCTTGGTAGTACCTGTCGCAAGCACCTATTATCATCATCATCACCATCATCATCATCGTCATCATCATCATCATCATCATCATTACCATACCCTCTCGCGAAACCTCGCTCTTCGCGCTCGACTTCGGACGCGCCGAGTCCGTCCTTGTCGTCGGTTAGAGTCCGTCCTTGTCAAGTGTAAACGATCGACGGTAAACGCTTCGCTCTCCCACTGTCGGCCCCCCAAGACTCATAAAAGCGGATGGGGGACCTCTCGCCGTGACGTGTTGCCCTGTACCGTTATCCAATGGCGCGGACGTATCCCGCGCTATCGGACGGTGGGCTCGCGAGAGGCCCGCTTTTTCGGGCCTACGTCAATGCTTCAGTGAGCCACTTATCAATGGGATCACCAGGTAGGCATCCGTGCGGCGCGACAAATTCGGCCGTAGCTCTGCGCGCGCGGACCCGTTTGATGTTTACGACTCTGCTCCGTGTTTACGAAGGCGAAGGAACATGCCTCTTCCTCTTTGAAATTCAAAATGCATCTTTACACTACCAAGCCAAATATTATATGTTTACTTACGATTCTATTTTTTATTATCCGTTTCAGAGATTTTTCGAGACTTTTATTATCTATCGCGACGTCGCATTACATAGGATGACGTAATGTTAAAATATTTCTAAGATCATTTTAAGTAGAAAATGTCGTATAAATGTTAGTCTAGTTCGCAATTGTTATGAAACATTCTGAAAAAATATTTTTTATAATTCTTCACATTGTCAATATTACAGATGATCAGCTTTCTAAATAGAACTTGCGATAAAATTATAACAAGTATTACTTTAATAGTAACATTAATTATAATTAGTTAAACAATAATTATATATTATATATATATATTATATATATATATATATATAACGTATATAATGTGTACGTATATGTATATACGTGTGTTGTGTGTGTATATATGTATATATGTATATAACATAATAATGTCATGTGAATAATAATTTACATGTAATGATATGTGGTTAATACATATGTTTCTAACTAGAATTTTTATGGATAGTCTTAAAATAACATTTCTTCATACTTATCCTTACTTAACAGATACAAAATTTATCGCAATATTTTTCAAAATCTCGCAATAAGTAGTTCTCTCGTTATAGCTCTCGCATGTCTGACTTATATGTCTGTTTTCTACTTAACGCTATCATTTCTTTGATTTGTAAGTAGAACGAGCACATTTATTTTTATTTAATTTATATTCTCGGCCACCTTTAATCTCTGTGTTATAAAATTGACAATCTTTGTCGAATTTTGCATCAACATTTAATTAATAATTATAATAATTGCAATCTAATTTAGGATACAGAAAATCAC